GAAAATGTGACTAAAATCATCCAAATACCGAATATCGGGGGATACCGTTATATGGGGTATATACGATATCGTGGACCTATATAGACAATTCTCTTTCAGGAGGTAAAGGAACTCCTCGTGTGGATTTTCAGACTATTCTATTGGAAAATATGGCTATAATCATCAAAATTCAGAATATCGGGGGGTGACGTTATATGGGGGCTATACGATATCGTGGACCTATATAGATAATTCTCAGCAAAGGGATAAAGTACTCACAAAGAACTCCTTGTGTGGGTTTTTATACAATTCCATTAGAAAATGTGGCTAAAATCATCCAAATACCGAATATCGGGGGTTACCATTATATGGGGGCTATACGATATCGTGGATGGATATAGCCCATCTTCGAACTTGACCTGCCTGCAGACAATAGAGAGATCTGGGCAAAATTTTAGCTTTCTACCTTAATTGGTTTAGCTGTAGCGTGATTACAACAGACGGAAGAACACAATCGTCTTAGAATTTTACGCTGATCAAGAATATATATACTTTGTTGGGTCTAAAATGATTATTTCGATGACTTACAAAAGGAACGATGAACTTAATATACCCTCCGTACTATGTATGGTGGAGGGTATAAAAATCGGGAACATGCCAAATTTAGTCTGCATACACGAACGGCTTGTCCTTCGGATGTATTAATTTCATAGCGAATGCCAAGCGAGCAGGGATACTGTAATAACATTACACATTCCATACACATATGGGAGCTATATCCAAATTTGAACCGATTTCAATATAATTTGGCAAATTTATTTTTGTCCCAAATTCTGTTACGCATTCCAAACTTGGAGACGGTATCTGTAATCGATCAATAGATATTTGCATATATATGCATACATACATTATTCGCCGGAATTGTTTCAAATTTCGTAATTGAAGATTTTATTGGGTACTACAGCCTATGACAAAAAATTACTCATGCAGATCCACATCTTCGTAAAGCCCCCGTATCATCATTCAAACGGTCTTCTCGAAAATTTTCAAGTTTCTTTCAAATGGTGGAGGGTATTAAAAGTTCGGTCACATTTAGGTGCGTTTTACTTATTTTATGAAAGATATTTTGTTCTTTCAATACCCCATTGAACTATTTCAGTCTTGGATAACAAAGTACTCCTAATTCATATTACCAGATTGTTAGAATGTGAGACGTATTTATCAAGTTTTAAACCAAGTTTCTCGATAACTTTTTCTTCCATACATTGATTGTTAACAGCCATTATGTTAATAAAGTGAACAAGTAAAAAACGTATTACTTAAAACGCATTGTAATTAATTACTGTGGCTTTTATTGTTTCAGATAGTTTAAAAATTAGAGTAAATCTATTTTGTGTTTTTTTCCTTATTTTATAAATCTCTATTTGTCAGTAGTTTCAACTATTCATATTTATGTAAATACATATGCTTCTACATTCGATATTCATCCAATTCACTTTTGCTTATTTTTCTTATCAATATATTGGCGATCAAATAAATTTTTTCTTATTCAAATGTTGCGGCCGTGACCGCAAAATTAATTACTGAATATTATCCAAATTTTCATGAAATGCTCATGAGAATTAAATTGCTATAAATGTCTATGTGAGTGTGCAATTGAAATGAATTCGCTTTTTTTGTTTACCATTTAAACTATGTCATTAGTTTTCATGAATTTTCAATTAAAAACCTACGCTATTCAGTAAATATTCAACAAACATAGGTATGCCGATTGGAGAATGGTTATATTCAATATGCAAAGAAACCAGTAAGGAAAAGCTACACCATTACGTATATTTAGTAGAGCTCCCGCAACAAAAGAATTTATTTGATGTAGATCTTACCAACTTGCAACATCTGGTTTGAGAGCAGTTACATTTTGGTTTCAGAGGGAACAAATATATTGAAGGCATACCCAATTCTGAATTGATTTCGCTAAATTTGACGGAGACATTTTAATCTTTTATATAAGTAACAATGGTATAGAGTGCATGATATCACTTGGGGAAGGATTGTGTTAAAAAAAATATATACTGGAGACGAATTCCACAAAATGGAAAGGTTCGTTCCGAAATCCTCTCCATTTGGGAAGATATTAGCCATTATTTGCATAAAAAACCAGAAATCGAATTACGGATATATATGGGAGCTATATTCAAGCCTTAGCCGGTCTCTATAAAATTTGGTAAAGGTATTTCCGAGCTCTATAAGTTATTTGGTACAAAATATGCATTCGACATATTACGAATGTAAGGGACTTAAACACAAATGGGATGAAACATATATATGGGACCTATAGCTGTATCTGAACCGATTATCTCCGAATTCGATGTAGCCACATTTTTTATAGAATTTTTTGAAATTTGTATTATCAAATATTGGAATTTCAGCTTTAAAGATATATTTTTACATGAGTTGTTTTCCAACCGGTGGAAAACTAAAACTAATTGCTGGATAAAACTAACTTTTTTAAATTGCTTTATGTAATGCTGTAATAATAAACTTGACAATTTCAAGCTTTGACAGGGCGTCTATTAGTAGTTTGAATCTAAATAGTCTTATTAGAAAATTTAAATATATTAGTAAAATATATATGTAAAAATAATGTTTATTTAAAATTCTTTCAACATTGACAGATTTGAGTAGAGTTTTTGGCCAGGCGCATTTGGGTAATAACGTCGTATAAATGCTATAAAGATAACGAAATATGAACTTTTACTTACGGAAAATCTGGAAAATTTTATGCTGCGAAAATTGTAATGCGGAGAGTATATTTGGTTCCTGTAAAACTAAAATATCAAATGAGATATACAAAAGCACCAGAAAATATTTGTCTATAAAATCTTTACCACAAGGAACTGACTTAAGAGTCTTATAAGGACACATTTAAATATTTGGAACAGTTGATCAAATCTAAAAATTTTGCCAATGAAGTTATTCTTTTTGAGAATTCCTACTGGAACTGGAAAACGGTAAGAAAACTGCGTCTAAAACATTCAAAATGTTAGCCTTCAATGTAAGCTACATACTAAGGTGGTTAATATCAAATATTGAAGATAGTCAAAATTACTTGAGGTTAGGAACCTAGTATATATACAGGGTTTAACATAATTATTTTGAGTATTTACGCAGGGAATGACAAATTATGGAGGAGAGTTTAAAAATATCACGCTCAATCTCGGTATATTTTACCATATACAATAAGTACTCCACAGAATTTCATTTGTTACTCTAAAAATCTACTGCTAAAACTCTGTTTTATTTATGTACACCCAGAGAAAAAATGACAACATCCGTGTATGAAATGACCACATCCGTGTATGATAGTGTATCAACCACGTTTGGTGTCAAAATGAGCACGCTGTTGTCATTTTGACACCGAGATTTTGGCAACGATTTCAACAACAGATGTGCATGAAATGAGCACATACGTGGTCATTTCGAGCACGCCCCGTTGTCAGATTGTCAACGCTTCGTTGTCAGATCGTCAACGCTTCGTTGTCAGATTGTCAACGCTCCGTTGTCGGATTGTCAACGCCCGTTGTCAGATTGAAATCAATGGTGGTCATTTTTTGATATCCGTTCCTTTTCCATTTTATACCCTTAGTAGAAGAAACGACATTTTTGAAAAGTATTTTATTGAACGAAACCAATTACATAAATTCAATATAAATACATATTTGATTTAACAAAACAATTCGAATTACATATATTCAATGTATAGAAACAAATTAAATTAACTTAAATCTGAAATAAACTTTTCCATTATTCATAGGATATAAGTGAAATGGGTAAGTAATAAAATCTAAAATTGGTATTAAAAAAATTGTATCCTCATTCAGAGAACCAACTTCATACGATTGTAAATGGTAATCAAAGTTTTTAACTTTTACTTGGTTACATAAAATGTAAACATTTTCATTTTCAATTATTAAATGTTTAATTTTGAAAAGTTCAATTGCGGCATTATTTGTTGCTAAATAATAGTTTTTTTTATACCTAGTTCCCTTAAAAAAATGTCATCAGACACTTTGCAATTTTGGTAATTTAAAACTGGCTTACTTTTTTTGTAACAATATTCCTCTTTTGCCAAATCTTCGATGGTATGCGTATTAATGATAACATTTGGTTCTAAGTTATCTTCGTGTTTTAATAAAAATTGGAAAATTTCAATCCAGACTTAATAGATAATGAACGACAGGGATTTACTCTTGATGTAGTATTTCCTAAATAGGCTTTTGCTTCCTTGTGTTTAGCTTCGAATCTCATGCTCCAGAGATATTTAAGGGGACCACATTTTCGGATAGCTGTGGGATAGTGGACAAGAAAGTGGTGTTTCGGTTTTAACGAACCGTATAATGTTATATAAAGTGAATGGTGATCTCTAATTAATTCTTCCAATTTTATTAAATCGTCTTCTATATAACTTGGTCTTAAAAGTAAATCGATTATTTGTAATAATATTATAAAAACTTTCCAGTGATCGTTGGAGAAAGGAATTAAATCGCCTACCATTAAAGGTAAAAAATTAGTAAAACACATAGTTTCACTAGCTGTCATTTTTAAGTTATAGTTTTTCAATCTACATAAATCTAGTGGTCCAGATTTATTTCCCACTTCAATTTCTCCAAATTGGAATAAAGATTTTCTGCTGTTAATACAATCTAACGTAACAATATTTTCTTGAATCAGCCCGAGAATTACATTAGACATATCGTAGACACATATGCCCTCGAAAATGTCATGCATAATATCAAAACAAAAATTTTCAGTGACGTTAAAATTTGGTAAAGATTCGAAGATACACTTGTTTTTAATACCTGTTTCTTGAAAATTATTTTCCAATACATTTGAGTTGTAATTCTCTTGGTTTCTTAAACTATCTAAATGCTGAATTGCGTCGCAGATCGATCCCCAATCATTACATTCTCTTAGTAAGGAAGCTTTCAATGAATTTTCAACTGATTCATCAATTTCGGGAACATCTTTGTTACAAAAATTAGGAGATGTGTGAGTTGCTGCTTTGCTTGTGCTAGGCTCGGAAATCAAAAGCTTTATTCTTTTGGACTTCTTGTTTCTATACTTGGCATAAAGTTTTCCGCTTGCGTTGTTCTTTCCTTTTCTTGAAATGTAATAATAATCCTAAAAATAAAGACATATTATAAGTTAAGAAACTACATAATCAGATACGTTGTTTATATTGTTAATCTTACCCTCATTTCGTTTTCAAGAGGAAAAACGGAACAAATTTCATCCAATATGCGCATATAGTCTTGAGTGTAAAGAGTAACATTGTTGGTTAAAATATCTTCAATAATTATATTAATTATATCATCTCTTTGCTCGTCACTTAATTTCTTATTAACGCTACTACATTCAAGCGCTAGTTTCCTCTTCGAGGTATGTGTTTACAATTCCGTTAGATCCTATATTAAATAAAAAAACTACATTAACTATGCTTACACAAATATTACTCTTACCTTACCTCTGACAAAATTCCTTTGGCTTTTGAGCAGTTCGAACCTGTAGTGTCGGGAGTACCAGGAGTACTTGCAGGTGTCTCGTTGCGTTTCCACCATTCACCTATTTTAGATGGAACTGACATAGTTTCGTCATCAATCCCGAGCTATTGTTATGACAATATTAATACTGAGTTCAACTCTGTAAAACAAATAATACGTACCTTTCGTTTTTTCCAAGCAAAGAGCTTTTCTCTGAATTCAACACGCAGTCCCAATGGTGGCACTGCTTCCTTTAAATCTTCTTTTTTTCAAGTACTGCAAGCTGCGAAATGTTACATGTGATGCTAAAAGAACAAAAAAGAAAATTCTTTGTTAATTACACTGATTAACTGAAAAATTCATTTTTATTTACTTACCTTTTAATTGTTCAAAAAGCGACTCCATATTTATTCCTTTTAAGAACTCCCTTAACATATAATCGTCCTCATTGTTTTCCGCATCTTGACTGCTGCAATGGTTTGTATCGCGAACCACAACAATATTGCCATCGATTTCTAACAACTCACCAATGATATTTTGAGGATCTTGCGAATTATTATTCATTTTCAATAAATTTTTTGCACAATGCGTCCTTTCTCTTTCAATAACACGGAAAAAATGGTAAATATGCAGCCGATTGCACACGAGTAAAAAAAATGACAACGGTGGTGCATGATTCATACACGGTAGTTGCTAAAATGGCAACGATCGTGTACGATTCATGCACGTCGGTGTACAAAGTAACAACGGTGGTGCATCATTATGCAGGTGGTGGTGCATAATTCATACACGACCGGTGTCATATTGACAACGACCGTGTGTGAATCATGCACCACCGTTGTCATTTTTTACTCGTGTGTAATCGGCTGCAATTACCAATATTACAAATGGACAAATTAAGCACGGCTGTTGTTGGTACCGAAAGTTGACCACGTCTCGGTGTCAATTTGAGCACGTTCGTGCACAATTCACCAACAGCCGTTGTTGAAAAATATAACAACGGGTCGTTGCGAAAATGACAACATACGTGCTTGATTTCGCAACGGGATTTTTCCCTCAGTGTACATGTATGTATGTACATATGGAAGCAGCTTTCAATTTATTTTGAACTCTTTAGCAATTAATTTAATAGATTTTATGTAATATCAGCCTCGGTATTTCATAATTTTTTTTATTATTACTAATCTTCTTTCAGTATTTTAGTGGCTTTTCATTACCGTGAATTTCGACAGCCTCCAAAAATAAAACAAGATATAAACTCTGTATAACTCCAAACAATTGTATAAATTTATGTCACTATTATATGTGGTGGCGCGATAAAAGCAATGGAAAACGTTTGAAATGTGCCAACAGACAATCCTATTACGATTTTAACTGGATTGAAAAGCTATTTTATTTGAATAATTGCACGTCTCAGTTTACATTTAAATACCTCAAAAGCTCATATTAATGCGAATCAGCTCATTTTTTTGTTTTATAACACTATGTATACCAAATATACAAGCTTCATAAAGTGTAAACTTTTTTTGAATATATATGAGGATTTAAGAACCTCAAATGTATATATTTTTCCTTTTTCAAACTTGGAAAGGTGTGTACAATAACATTGTCGTTCCGTTTGTAAAACCTCCAAATATTCGTCGTAGACCCTATAAAGTACAGGATGAGATGAAACAAATAAAAAGCAGTAAGTTCGGCCGGGCCAAACTTTGAATACCCTCCACCATTTGGAATGAATTAGAAAGTTTTCAAAGAAAATAAATCCATTGAAAATTCTGTTAAAATCTTTAAAATACCTAATATCGGAAGGTGCCGATATATGGGGGGAATATACGATATTGTAGACCTATATAGACAAATCTATGTCAGGGTGTAAAGTAGTCACAAGTAAGACCTTGTGTGGATTTTCAGATAATTCCATTGGGAAATGTGGTTAAAATCATGACAATCGCGAATATCGGGGCACCGTTATATAGACAAATGCCTTTTAGAGGTTCAAGTGCTCACAAAGAACTCCTTGTGTGGATTTTCAGACAATACCATTGGAAAATATAGCTAAAATCATAAAGATACCAAATATCGGGGATACCGTTATATAGGGGATATACATATATATCGTATATACTATATATCGTTAACCTATATAGAAAACTCCACGTCAGGGTTAAAGTACTCACAAGGAACTCTTGTGTGGATTTTCAGACCATTCCATTAAAAAATGTGGCTAAAATCATCAAAAACCGCATATCGAGGTGTACCTTTATATGGGGGCTATACGATATCGTCGATCTATATAGACAATTCTCTTCCAAGGGATAAAGTACCCACGAGGAACTCCTTGTCCTTGTGTATATTTTCAGACAATTTCGTTGAAAAATGTGGGTAAAATCATCAAAATACCGAATATTGGGGGGTACCGTTATATGGGTGATACACGATATCGTGGACCGAGAGATCTGTGCAAAATTTTAACTTCCTATCTTAATTCGTTTAGACTGTAGCGTGACTACAACAGACGGACAGACGGACGGACAGGTCTAAATCGTCTTAGAATTTTACGCTTATCAAGAATATATATACTTTGTTGGGTCTAAAATGATTATTTCGATGAGTTACAAACGGTGTGATGAACATAATATACCCTCCATACTATGTATGGTGGAGGGTATAAAAAATGTAATGCTTTAATGCATAAATAAATAAATAGTTCTGTCTATCAACGCGTGAAATGACATGTACAGTTGGCCATGAGAAAAGTAGGGACAAATTTAGTCCGCACACAAAGGGTTTGTCCTTCGGATTTATTAATTTCATAGCAAATGCCAAGCGTGCAAGAAACTGCAATCTTTTGAAGTTAAGTGGCATTTCTGTTGCTGTTAAAGAATTCGATATAGCAACATACTTCCCAGTAATAATCGTATCGTCAATTCAATTGTTGTGTAGTTTTTTACTGTACGCCTAATTCCATTGCAAAGGCGTTGTGGGCCAATGCTTCTTAGTAAAATCATATCCCCATCTTAACCGATTTCAATATAATTTGACAAAATTTACTTTTACACCAAATTCCGTCAGACCTTCCTTATTTTATTGAAATTGTTGCGTCAAATATGTGAAATCGGCCGAGAATATATATATGGAAGCTATATCCAAATCTTAACCGATATCTAATTAATTTGTCAAGTTTATTATTGTAACCAAATTCCGCCACATACTCTGAATTTCATTGGAATCTGCCATACATATTGTGTTTGATGCATAACACACATGAAAACGGGAGCTACACCCAAACCTTAACCGATTTCAATATAATTTTTTTTTGGTATCAAATTTCTCTGTCCTAATTTTATTGGAATCGGATATATTTATGGTGTTGGTGCATAAAATATGTGAGATCGGTTAAAAAGCTACATCCAAATCTGAATCGATTTCAATATTATTTGACAAATTTATATTCGACAAAAATCCTGTAACACATTCCAAATTTCATTGGAATCGAACATACATATCGTGTTTGAGGCATCAAATAAACGAAATCCGCCGAAAATATATATGGGAGCTATATCCAAATTTGTACTGATTTCAAAATAATTGGGCAAATTAATTTGTTTACCAAATTGATTCACTCATGCCGGCCGAAAATATGCATGGGAGCTATATCCAAATGTGAATCGATTTCAACATAATTTGACAAACGTATATTCGTTTGAAATTCCGTTACACATTCCAAATTTCATTGAAATTAGAGATACATAGCGAGTTGGGTGCATCAAATGCATGAAATCGGCCGAAAATATATATGGGAACCATATCTAAATCTGAACCGATTTCAATATAATTTGACTAATTTATTTGCTTCACACATTCCAAATTTCATTGGAATCGAACATAAGTATCGTGTTTGGTGCTTCAAATGAATGAAATCGGTCGAAAATATATATGGGAGCTATATCCAAATGTGAACCAATTTCAATATAATTTTGCAAAATTATTTTTGGAGACTATATCTCTAATCGATCCATAGACATGTGCATATAAAATCTAAATTTTTGGGAGGTACCTCCGATTCTGATGCTATATCTCCAGTTCCAAGTGGAATTTAAAAAATGTATATGTACTATGTATGTATGCCTATGTATGTATGCCTCCATACTATGTATGCTGGAGGGTATAAAAATGCAACAATGTCAAACGCCATAATTTTTACATTTTTTTTATTTTATTTTATTTTTTTTTTTTTTTTTTGTATGAAAGCCAAAAATGTCGGAAATAGCATCAAATTTTAGAATAAGGGTGGATTTGTTCGAATTAATCACCTTTGACACAAATAATGGCCTTCAAACGGCCAATGAAACCGTCACACGCTGCTCGAATGTTGCTCTGCGGTATTTCGGCCCATTCCCGGCGAAGCGCTTGCTTGAGGTGATCGACACTTTGGTATTTTTTAGTGCCAAGCTTGCTTTCCAAAATATAAGCCTATTATCAATGTTAAGTTTTCTATTATTAAGATCTCTCCGCTCTACACAGTATTCTTTCAATAAGGCTCTGGTTTATTGTCGACAAGTATCCAGTATAGTATATGCCATATCGTCGCATCACAAATTCCAACGGCAAATGCTTCGAAAAACTATAAAACAATTGCAAATGTTACAATTTATGTTAGCTTTTGTGGCGATGTAATAGCCTAGAATTGTGTAATAAAAATGTCAAATGAATGGGAAAGTTGTTTTTCATTCGGAGTAAAAAAAAAACAAAGGGTTTCCTGGGTGACAATCATAATCTCATAAATTGTACAGTGTAAAATCAAAATAAGATAAATTATATTGGAAATGTTTAAAAATTCGTGTGTAGAAATCATGTAGTACCTTTAATGCTAAAGGGTACTAATTGCCACTACCGAACTAATAAAACGAGAATTGTGGAATTGAAGGTATCTTCTAACATCATTACCATTAATGCGTAGTATTGGCAAGAAAAAATGAATCGTAAGGAATAAATTCGAAATTAAAATTACTTTCTTAAAGACAAAAAGTTCAAGTGCAAAAATTTTTTTTAACATTTCCGTGCATTAAAAATAACAATAAATATTTTAATTAAATTGAAATAAGTCATTTTGTTAAGCTCATGTATGTGTACAAATGCGAATAAAACACATAACATTTATATTTGACTTGAAATCGATTGAGAATTATTTTGTTACTTTACAATGCCAGTGGACAGACCTTGGCCAATATACAAAGCTTCATTAAAATTCCAGAAAATTGTTTGGGTTTTTATTAACTTAATCTATATCCCATACCGCTCATTAATTAATGGACAAATGAATGAATGTAAATGTCGGTTGGGTATGTGTAACTCCCAAGAGAGTAATGAAGGCTGAATGAAAAAAAAAAAAGAAAAACAACACAGAAAACAGGAAAAGTGAAATACTGGGCACAGCACAAATCCCTTCATAAAATATCACGGAAAATGAATATAATTTCGTTCTATAATCATACATTCCTCATGTTGATATTCATAACCATGAACATAACAGATTATAAGAGTGTAACGAAATACAACTCTCTTAGTATTTATTAAATCTATACGGGATGAGATGAAAAAACTGCAACCAACTTCAGACTGCTGTCATTTCTAAGCCACTCGTCCGACAGCTGTTAAAATTATTCCAGTGACAGCTTATTATATTGTTTACAAGCGTACAAAAGCATTTTGGTGAGAATTTTCCAGACAAAAAAAAGATGTATTCGTGATAGAATTCAAGCGTGATAGTGTGATTCCATTGTATTTG